TATCAATGGCACCATGAGAACAGGAACTACAAACTAGGCTGTTTCTTCATTCACATTGATGGAACTCTACACAAAGTTCCAAATAGATGCACATATCAAGAAGTGATATAGCACCCACTGAGAGGGACAACATCTACCACTGCAACACTGGAATTTTAGGACTAACAAATTAAGTCAAGGTCAGTCGCCTTTTGGAGATAGGACAGGCTCCTCTGTTAAAAGTTGGCCCAGTTTATGTAGAAAAGAGTGTGTTCTATTTGCAAGTTGTTAGCATGTTCTATTTCTATTTAGGACACTTTGATAGATGGCCAGAGCATGTAGCATTGTGCTAGTAGGAGAGTGCCTGAGTCAATTTGTGGCCTGCAGCTGAAATCAGCAGGATCACTACAGTATCTATGAATGGTTGGGGAGATATGGCATATACACAGAAACAGATGATAGTTTGCTGCTGCCAGTGCACCTTTAAGCCAATAAACTCAAGTTCCTAAAGCATGAAGCCTTGATTTTTACAGGCACACACCAAATAAGAAAAAAAAGGTTACAGAAAAAATAGAGCAGCTGCTGCCTACTTTTTGATTATTGCTATAACAGTCCTCAGTCTGGAAGCACCCTTTAATTCAGATTACCTGATATCTTTTTCTAGACTTCCAGCAGCAGATAAGTTTCAGAACATGCCTATGTTCCTGCCACAAGATTATGTAGCCAAGTTTATATTTATTTTAACTGATGTGTTTTTAACAATCTCTAATGTAGCCATTGGAGACGCAGTGGCGCAGCGGCTTAATGGCGCTGAAAGTTGCCGGCCAGAAATAGTTGACACTTCAGCGGTTCGAGCCCAGCTCTATGCAGCAGAGCGAGCTCCTGCTTCCTCCCCAGCTCCTGCCAACCCAGCAGCTCAAAAACTTATGTGAGTTGATAAATGGGTACTCTCACCCCGGTGGGAGGAAAAATGCTGGCGGCGCTTGCACAGGAGAAGGGAGCAGTTCTGGTAACGCGGAAGCCACG